CATGTCTATCTCAGTTAAAAACAATCAAATATTTAAAAAACTATTAATTTGCGACGGAAATGAAGTTGATATTCGTGTTCAGTGCATCAATATTTAGTAGAAAATAGACAACTGGTAGCTGAGTGTGAGACGGGAGGGAAAGTAAAAAAATACCCATTTTTAAAATGAAATAAAAAAGTAGCTGTACATACCCCTGGTTGTAGGCGAATGTAAGTGAGGTTTTATAATGGAAGGGCCTAAAGTTAACAGGCTCTTTGGCTTTGGAAAAAAAATGTTGGAAATACATTTTTTTCTATTTATTAGGTTGAGTTGAAAGAGCTATATATAGTATATAGCCTAAAAGTCTTCATAAAAGCAATGTTCTTCTCCTTTTATCAAAGCATCAGTTTGACCTAAAATAACTATCCTCCAGCTAGATCTAAATAAATAGGCTTTTATTGATAAACACAGCTTTTTTAAAAATTCATGTTGCAGGGTAAGTCTGCCACTGTTGCATTTAGAAGACTTGTAAGGGCCATTAATTAAATTCCATCAAACTTTTATTGACCATGCTCAAGGCATAATATTTGACTTCAACCTCAAATTTAATTTAATTTCCTCTGTTGGTTCTATAATCTTTATCTGTGTATATATAGGCCTATCCTATATCTGTTTTTCTGTTTTCAATTTCAATGCACTTTTTGTTTCAGGCCCGTGAAATTTCAGCACCCAGAGTGGGACGCTTTAAAGTTCACATTCAGGTTAGTGTTAATCCTTTTTCTTTGGTTAAATTTTTAAATTGGAAAGTTTGAACATTTGTTACATTCTGATTATATTTTATATTATTTTGTGTGGTTTTTATTTTACAAGAGTACCTGTTGTAGGTTTCAGGGTTTGAATTGTTGTCTATATATAATTTTTTTAGGGCCTACGTTGTTCCTTTGGTTTGCTGGATTTTTTTACTAGGTCACACTCTTGCATTATCAGTAGCCTCTATGCCAGTCAGGGATCATAATTGTGATTGTACTTGCTTTAAAAAATGGCGCCTTTTTCATTGACTTGGTGTTGAGAGTAGAAGTGGAATGAGAAAAAGTGTGTCAAAGGAGTGGTTTTAGAGGAAGGTAATAAGGTCAAGGTAGAGTTAAGTTGAGAGCTTGAAGAATATCCCTGAAGGCAGGTAGCTTGTTATCTTGTTGGGAAGGGTAGGGACTTTCCTTTGTATAAATTAGGTCAAATATTCCCAAGTTTGTCAGGTTGATCCTCTTGAGATTACTTGGAGGCCAATGGCCTTTACTTTGTCTTTTGTTCTTTTCTTTGTCAGAACATAAGAACATGATTGTTTTTTTCCTATTTCTTTACACTTCTAAATCATTGTTTCAAGAATGTAATAGGATCCATGGGTTTTTTTCATGTACCTCTCATGGGGTGTATATTTTTGCAATATGATCACTGGCTTTCTGCACCATTATTAAGCCAATGTCAGGGTCTGTGGGTAGCAGGTCGTTTCTTTGGTTGACTTTTGCTGATAATATTCCCTCTTTGCTCCTCATTTCTCCCTTTGGTCTACTGTAGCCACTTTCTTGTGTAATCATACACATGTCATATGTACCTATTTTGTTTTCTTTCTAGATTAAATTTCTGTTTTTTGGCAAGAACGATTATAACATTTGTACATTTTATAGCAGTTACACTAATGACTCTACTGACTTTGTCTATATACTGTTGTTAATGTTCTACGTGCACTACTCAAGACTAGGCAGTGTTGTGAAGATGGTCTTGTTGGTGTTGGCCTCTCTCCAGCAATGTTTCGCTTCAGAGAACAATAATGGATAGGGGAAAAAATGCAGTGGAGGGATCAAGGTCCCTTGGCCTTTTATGCTCGGTATGGATTTACCGGAGAGGTCATTCACTCAGAAGCTAGAAGAAAGGGGAAGTGAAAGAAATAAGGTGGGAGGGAATGGGATTGGTTACAGGCCTATAATAATGTAGCCTACCCGATTAGGCTTGATTCATATAATCTAGGTACCGGTAGTGTCAGATGACTGACCAGTGCAAAGAAGGCATAAATGATTGTGATAGAGGAAAGGGAGAGGAGGGCAGACATGTTCTTGGTGAGGTGTGGGGCGCCTTGTAGTTTGGCCCCTCATAATTGTATCTCCTCTTTCA